TCAGATGTTGGGCTCCCATACATGACCAGTACAGAGCCATAGAACAGTGTAACTACAGCCACATGAGACCCACAGGTGGAGAAAGCCTTCCTCCTGCCAGATGCAGAAGGGACCTTCAACACAGCTCTTAGGACAAGAGCATAGGAACCCATGATAGAGAGAAAGATAAAAATGAGAGATAGAAGATTTATGTGGGAGAAGACAAGCTCTATCATTGGATCTTTTCTGCAAGTGAGTGCTAGAAGAGGACCTGGATCACACAGGAAGTGGTCAATAATCCTGGATCCACAGAAGGACATTTGAGAGGTGATGACAATGGGAATCAAGTACCAGAGGAAACCAAGTGCCCAGCAACTGACCACAAGATTGGTGCAGAGATGTCTGGTCATAAGGGTAGGATAGTATAGAGGTAGGCAGATGGCAAGGTACCGATCAAATGCCATAACTGCCAGGAAAAAGCATTCTGTAGACCCTAAGGAGAAGAAAAAGTAGAACTGCAGAAAGCACCCAGAGAAGGAGATGACCTTTGTGTCAGAGAGGAAGTTGGCCAACATGTTGGGGACCGTGGAGGTGACATACCAGATCTCCAGGAAGGAGAAGTTGGCAAGCAGGATGTACATGGGGGTGTGTAGTCTCTGATCCCAACGCACAGCACAGATGATAGAAGCATTGCCCATGAGGGTCAGGAGGTAGACACCAGAGAAGAACACAAAGAGGAGGATCTGCCCCTGCCTGGAGCAAGGGAAACCCAGGAGGATGAATCCAGTGATGGTGCTGGAGTTGCTGGGGGTGTTGAATATTTTCATGTGTCTGTGAGCTGCAGAGGAAACAGCAATTACTGAAAGATAGTATAATGATAGATAGGGAGTCAAATTTATATTGAAATCGCCTTGGGAAATTTGGACTGCACATACACTTGCCAGCATCTCAGTAGAGTGGGATTCCACCTTGGCAGTGCTCTACACCAAGGGTACACTTTCATACATAGTTTTGGCTTGTGGGCCATGCACTGTTTGCCAAAACTATCCAGCTTGACTCTTGTAGTGCAAAAGCAGCCATAGCAATGCCTAAATGAATGCGGCTGTGTTCTAATAAAACTTTATTATGTCCGGTGAAATCGGAATTTTATATAGTTTTTATGCATCACAAAACCTTATTTCTATTGATTTTTTTTTAAAAGATGACCAGTAAGGGTACCTTAACCCTTGACTTGGTGTTGTCAGCACCACACTCTCCCAAGTGAGCTAACCATCCATCCCTACATAGGGATCCGAACCCATGGCCTTGGTGTTATCAGCACCACACTCTCCCGAGTGAGCCATGGGCCGGCTCCTATTTCTATTGATTTTTAAAAATTTTTTATAATTATTATTAGCATATTCATTCTTACAAATTATGATATTTCTTTATGCCCTTTGCCCAACCTATCACTTCCCAAACTCTCTCCCTCCCTTCCCCCATCTCTAGTATCCCTAGGTTTCTTCTCTCCTTCTGAAATTTCAAAATATTGTTGTCTTTTCTTTCTTTCTCTTTCTTTTTTTTCTTTCTTTCTTCTTCCTTCCTTCTCTCCCTCCCTCCCTTCGTTCTTAGCAGGCAGCTAAGAGTGAGAACACGTGGTATTTCTGTTTCTTTTTCTGGCTTATTTCACCTAACGTAATTTTCTCCAGACACATCCATGTTGTTACAAATGGCAGAAATTTTCTATTGATTTTTAAACTTAAATATGTAAAAGTGATTATTAGCTTGCTCGCCATACAAAAATAGACAACAGACCAGGTTTGGTTCATTGATCATAGTTTGGTAACCCCAGCTCTACACATTCATAGGGAAAAGAGAGCAAGAACCATCCATTTGACTGTGGAACAGTGGAAGCTCCTTGGTGGAGAAACTGGCCTCAATAGAGAGGAGGAGACCTCTAAAGGTCAGCAGCTGCAATCAGCCTGTTCTGCTGAGCTATGTCAGACCTGCTAAGCCAACTTTCAGCTAAATTACAAAATCGAGTTTCCAAAGCCAGCGGGATTTTCTACACACACACACACACACACACACACACACACACACACACACACACACACACACACACACATTTATATACACCTCTACTCCATCCATGCAATACTGCTGTAATACAACACGGGCCTTCTTTCAGTTTCTAGCAGTTGACAAGTAGTTTCAGGACCCAGGGTCATTGCTGTTGTCCTTCAACTCTACCCTCTACTCCAGTGCCCAGCATGATCTGAAGAAGATAGTTAGTACTTCATAAATGTTTGTTAAAGAAATGAGTGTCTATATTGTCAAAAACAGAGAATATAGGTAGATGATTGTGAGGAAAATAGAATAATTTAGTCAGACTCCCTCAGCTCAGGTCTGGTTGGGGGTCGAGCAGCACATTTCTTGTAAACAAGTTGTGCGTGGGTGGAGTTAGTGCCATGTGCACCAATGTATCTTTTTAGTTTTGGTGCTATTGTGTGTTCTTGAGTTTGTGAAGCAGAGCTGGCTTGCAGAGCTCACGTCTAAAAACAGCGCATGTTTACTCTTCTCCTTTGGACTGTTTAACTCTTAGACATGTGTGTGCTGAATAAAGACTATTCCTACTTCAGCCAAGGCTCCAAGGACCTTTTTGCCAATTACTTAGCTCAAAGACTGGCATGTGAAGGGTTTGTGAATGAGCTCAAGGGGTCTGTGAGCTACAGACCCAGCCCTAGCTCTACAATTGGTGTAGTCGGAGCAGGGTTCTGAGCAGGTACAGGAGCCAAGATGCCCTTGCAGAAGGAGGAAATGTGGCTACTTTTGAACATGTTGTGCCCTGTGGCCACTTTCCTGTTGACCGGGATCTGGTTGCTGCTCACTACACTGCAAGTCAGCACAGACCAGGCACTACAGTGGAAAACCCTTTGGAGGGGGAGGAAATGTGTCTGTCCTTGAGCATGTGGTGCCCAGTGGCCACTTTTCTGCTGACTGGAGCCTGGCTGCTGCTCACTCTGCTGCAAACTGATCGAGAGCTGAAGAAGAAAGCAGAGTTGTTTGAAGCACGGACAATTATCCTGGAGGATGATGTGCAGCAACTGGAAGATACAAAGCAAAAAGCAGAGTTGTTGGAAGCACGGATGAATGTCCTGGAGGATGATTGCAGCGACTGGCCACTCCTGCCTCTCACACCAGGGAGGACGATGAACCCAGTGGTGATTTGGGGGAGACCATGCGTCCCCAGGCACGACCTGTCATGCACCAGAAAGTGAAATATGAGCAGCCTATGGGACTGGGTGGGCAACCAGTGGGCAATCCACAGGTGACCCAATTCACTATCCCATATACCCAGGTTGAGTTAGTTGACTTGGGGAGACAGTTTCAGCAGAAACAAGGGGAGACCCTGGCTGCTTGGCTGTTGTGGTTATGGGACCTTGGGGTGGATAGTGTGATATGCTCTGG